GGTACACGTGTGTAAGAGCTCAATCTGTGGTCAAATAAAAAAAAATTGTGCAGCTCTGCCACTTGGTGGCGCTATAAGATGGAAAAAACATAAAAACAGCTATAACTATGCAAGTGTTAGTCCAATTGACCTGAAAATTCGTTTGCAGTGTCTTTGTCCAATTTGTCATAAGGGTCTATGAGGACACTGACGTATCTCAAAAAACATGGCCGCCATCAACCAATGAATTTTGAGCACCTATTAGACAAGGTTAACAGAGGCCGTTCGGAAAGAAACTCGGTGGGCATGTTTGACTCATGGCCCTAAAGGTCTGAAATAATTTTGAAAGAAATCGGCCACTAGTTGGCGCTAACGAATTTTATGGCTCTGTAATCACGTGGTGTTTCACACATCCGCACAACATGCATATCATTTGATAGATCTCCTCAATGCACAACTCTGCCTCAAGAACTATTGCTGTAAATCAAATTGTTCATTAAATATTCACAAATATGTTAACCTACTTTTGCAAACTAGTCCTAGGTTTTTTGCTCAATCTCGATCAAACCACTGCAGTAATATTCTCTGGACTCTCTAGATCAATAATTATCAAACAAATGTTGAATTTTGTTTTTTTGGTTAGCTATAACGGGGTCATTTAGAAAAGGGGCGTGGCCAAATATACCCAAAAGCCTATAAAACCTAAATGAAAACTCTAAACTTTATGAAACTTGGTGAAAACATGTTACAGATTACTCATAAGCATGCAAAGTTTCATGGAGATCGGATCATAGGTGGTGCTATAACAGTTAAAAAGACCTCAAAAACACAGTATTTCTACAGTAAATGATCTCAAATTGCAAAAAAAATTTCATATTCACACAAACACTAGATCTTCATATCATATGATAGATCTCCTCATTCTGAACAACTTTGCCTCTGGGACCAATGCTCTCAATCAAACTGTTCATTAAATATTTGAGATCATTTAAAAAAAAAACTTCTTTTGTAAACTAGTCGTAGGTTTTAAACTCAAAATCAATAAAATCAGTGCAGTACAGTTCTCTGGACTCTCTAGGTCAATAATTATCAAAAAACGTTCAACATTTGCATTTGGACAGTTATAACGGGGTCATTTCTTAATGCGGTCTTGATCTAGTGTACGCAAAAGTCTATTACACTTAAAAGAAAACTCAAAACATCACAAAACTATGTAAACTCATGCATTATATGATTCTAAACAATCATGCAAAATTTTATGTAGACTGGACCAAAACTGACACCGTAATAGTTAGGGGTGGGGGAAAAAATTAATACAGTATAGTATCGTGATATTTTCCGCGGCAATACTGTATCGATACACGGACACCATAAAATCCTTTAATGCACGGCAAGCCGTTGATTATCCCGCTTATTCCATGGTCATTTGCCAGTATTGACAACTTAAAGCTGTTTATGATGTTAGCAGCGCAATATTTAACCGGAAGGGTAAAAATGATGGCTATTTTCGTCAGTTACAGCTCGTTAGCTCTAGTTTTCTGCCAGCTTCAAATCAGATACAGAGATGAAATTGCGGTAAGACCCCATTTATTTGAATGAATTATCGATTGAGAGAGAGATGACAGTTGTGTGTGTGAATTACCTGCATCTGTGCGTCTCTCTCTACAAACTATGAAGCTGTTTAGTTACTTCAATTTTACCTCGTTGCTGAGGAAGATAATGAAGTGATCTAGTATCTAACTTCTAAATATCTTTAGATCATCGCAGTGCCAGTGAACACGTCCGAAATCTCTCTGCACTGTGTAAATAATGAGTGACGTATGCGCACGACAGATCGCTTACGCACATGTGTCTACTATCTATTTGTACTATCTATACTATATGTATAGATTCCCTATTCGGTTCGCCATTTTGGAATGTATCACGGCCCATAGAAACAGTCACTAATGAGGCATCTACTTGTATATATCTGTCTACTATGCCAGAGCACGTACACGCATCACGCGCCAGATGTTGTGAACGCGCTCAGACATTGCGGTGGTTCAGAGGTAAAAAATTATATAAATACTGTTCAGTTTCTTGCACAGACCGATCGTTTCGTGTCTTAAGACCTCAGTGTATCGTCACGAGCCGCAGGGTTTAATTTGGTTTTGTCTGTGTATGTTTTTTTTTACTCTCAAAGCCGTGGAGCCCATTGACTGCCATTACATGACTGACAGACTGCAACGGTTTGAGTTAAAAATCTTCATTTGTGTTCTACTGAAGAAACAAAGTCACCTACATCTTGGATGCCCTGGGGGTAAGCAGATAAACATCAAATTTTCGCTTGGAACTACATGGAATGAATGAAAGTAAAATGCTAAGAGCACAGCAGTGCATAGTATACCTGTTGTAGCACATTGTTTACTTTAAGAGTACATGTTATGTTTAAATAAAAATGTTACATTTAAATTAAATGTTACATTTAATTTTAATGTAAGACTGTTTTATTGTATCGTCACGAGCCGCAGGGTTTAATTTGGTTTTGTCTGTGTATGTTTTTTTTTTTACTCTCGGAAGCCGTGGAGCCCATTGACTGCCATTATAAGACTGATAGACTGCAACGGTTTGAGTTAAAAATCTTCGTTTGTGTTCTACAGAAGAAACAAAGTTACCTACATCTTGGATGACCTGGGGGTAAGCAGATAAACACCAAATTTTCATTTTTGGGTGAACTATTCCTTTAAGGTTGACTAGACTAGACTGTAATACAAATAGTTGAGTTTGCCAGGTGCATACAACATTTATGAAAGGTTTTCATGAAAGTGTGGGTCAGTTTGTCTGCTTGACAATCCCATTTTGCACTGCAACAATAAAATTGAAGTGAGAGAAACAAACTGAGAAATGTTTCTTTTTAGTTAAAACGGATGTTGCCATAGTTTTCGTTTGTGGACATAATTTGAAGTTAGAAAAAGGTAATTGCAATACATCGCAGAATATCGCAATATATTTAAAATCGCAATAATATTGCATCGTGACACAAGTATCGTGATAATATCGTATTGTGGGGCCTCTGGTGATTCCCACCCCTAGTAATAGTTATGAAGGTTAAAAACACTACATGTCTATGCTGCTTTCCCTGAAAGTGCAAATACAACCACTAGATGCAAAGGATCACTCATTGGCTCATTCTATCACTTATATAGTTCTTTTTAGTTCTTTTCTCAGGTTTTATTAGGTACTGATATTCAGATAGTTTAAAATCATCATTACATTTAAAATCACATTTAGTCAAAGCTTACCACTTCATATATACAGACATATAAGTTTTGACAATTATGCATGATTAAATTTAAACCTGAAAAATATTATAAACAGGACACTTCCAGTAAGCATTTTATAACATGCAAGTTATTTCAAATATCTATATCTACAACATAATGTGTGTCTGTGTGTGAGCATGCTTAGTCTGTATTAAGTAATAGAGTGTGTGTTAAGTAATATACAGTAGTTCAACCTTTTCATTACTCTGTGTGTGTCATATTCTCCATCATGGATGTGTTCTGGTTTCAGCCATATATTTCACGTTGGCTTAGACCCCTGACAGCACAGAAGCCATGAATGCCTTTAAGTTCTTGAACCCCAGTAATCGCTGCTTGCAGCTATATTTATTATTATTATTTTTTTATAATTTTTTTTTTTTTTTACTGAAGTAAAAAATTAGTAATTATAATATAAAAATAAGCATATTTTACATAAAAAATGTTACTTTTAGAGGTAAATAAATAAAAAAAACACAAAATTGTATAAAATGATCGTTTTTATTTTATCAAAGATAGTGATATGACATTTAGTAAAAATTGGGATCACATCTGAGACTTTTGTGTCCAAATTTTCCACGAAGGACCAATTAAGGGTTCCTATACAAAGAATGCTTGAGGGTTAAACAGAACTGGACACGTCTGTTCAAGGCTTTCCAGTAAAGGGAGAAGGACTTTACAGTTAAAAAGAAAATAATAATAAGCAGTGCTGAATATATTTGTATATTCTTTGAAACTTCTGTGGAACATGAAGTGAACATAAACTTTGTTATTTGAGTTCTGCCAGCATGCTTTCATGGCCTGAATGGGTGGTCAGTGAAGGAGAGCTTTGTAGGTTGCCGATGTCTTGTAAAATGTGCATTTTATGTTCTGTTAATTGGCAGTTGATAGGAGTTCCAGTGAACTGCAGTGGCTTTTGGATCTGGTACACAATGATCCAGTCCATTACATAAGGTCAGTAATGATATCAAACATTGTGTCTTCAGCTGTGTAATATTTGTTTGTATGTATGTATGTATAACTGTAAACTATTTTTAAAAATAATTTAAAATTATTGAATACTTTCATGACACATCACTTTATTCGATAACACCTGTTTAGTTTGAATGTGTTTTCAGTACATGGAAAGGATGAATGTTGTTTTATATTTTGATATCTCAAACCTCCAAAACGTCAGGTGGTGCAGCCGTCCACACATATGAACAAACTAAGAAAACTATTAAAAATTGTTTTTTATGATAAATACTAAATAAAATACTGTGGCATGATTTTATGTTTGAAACCTTTCCTATAAACAAATTTCACAAATACCAGTAGTTTTAAAGCTGTTGAGATTAGGGATGCTCATATTTACCGTTTAACCGTTAACCGAAAGTACGAATTTTAACCAATTAATACTATCAGTTAAACGGTTTAAAAGTTTTTTTTTTTTTTTCTGGTACGTTTTTTTTTCTTTCACAAATATATTTAAGTTTGCTGCATAGTAAAAGAAAAAAATAATGCTATACATACAGTATTTGTTTACTCACGGGCACAGAGTAAATCCATGAGTGAATGTATGTAAATTCTGAAAGGATTATAGCCTAGTGCGCAATGGGTGCACCCCTATATCACTGGAAAGCTGTCACTTATCTTACTGTAGATCATCACAATCTCACAAAGTTAAAGGGGTCATATAATGCTACATGCACTTTTACAAGGCCTTTCCTAATAATGTGTTAATTAGCAAGTTTCACGATGAATGCAGCTGAAGTAAACAGTCTCTGAGAGCGGCTCGGAAGAGAGGCTCAGCAGAGCTCATTAACATTTAAAGGAAAATGCTACAAATCTGCATGCTCTGAAAAGAGCTGTTTTTGACAGGGTAAAAAAGGTGTTTTTTACACTACCATTGAGAAATTTTAACCAAACTATGTTACAGACTTTTCATTAAGACCCTAAAGAATCATATCAACTTGTGGAAAATGGGCATCCTATGACCCCTTTAATTAAAAATAATCAAAGAAGCTTTACATTGCACAATTAATCTTTTATTTACATCATGTCTACACTTTCTTTGTTTTAATGAGAGAATTTGTGAACGTGTAGAACTCAGCACAACTGAACCGAACACTAGCATTTTGGGTGGTGAGTGGATTGCGTTCATGAAATCAACAGTCATTTTGGGTGGTGAGTGGATTGCGTTCATGAAATCAACAGACATCTGTGATTGGCTGTATTGCTCAACGCTGCTGCAAACACGCCTTGAATAGAAACATATGACCAGTGGATGAAAAGTCCAGAATAGTGGCCGACCGATACTGTTTTTTTGACTGCCAGTATCTTCGAAAGAAGGGTGGCTGATGGCAGATATAAAGCCGATATAATTGTATTTATTTTAATTAATATTTAAGAAATTTGAAATAATTTGAAAATGGATTAAAAATAAATGTGTAAAAAACATACTTGTACTTTAGATGACAAAGTATTTCTCATAAATAAATATTTAATTAAAAAGTAAGTAAACACTGTAACCAACTGGGTACTCAGTATTCTGGGAAGTTTGATATGCCTGTATCAAATTTTCATGTTGCGATTAATTGCTAATGCTTTTATTACGGTATACGGTATTATCACGATATTGAAATTAAGTTTAAAAAAAGTGCTGTCATAATACAGTATAACAGGTTTAATAACTTTTTTCTTATAACAAAAATAACTGAACATTTAAATGCAATAAAGCAATACAGAAACATTTATAAAGTTAAAAGTTTTACACAGATTAAAGTGCAAAAGAACTATAAAGACCAATAGGTATCACTTTACAATAAGACCTCATTAGTTAACCTTAGTTAATGCATTAACATTCACAATGAGCAATAGCTACATTTGCTACAGAAGTTATTAATCTTTGTTTAAAAATACAAGTCTTAGTTCATGTTAGCTCATTAAATAACAGCTGCAACTCTCGATTTTAACATCCTGTTATTAAATATTGGAATACCTAAGATTAATAAATGTAAAGAAAAATGTTTCATTGGCAGATTGTTAACTAATGTTAACTAATGAAGCCCTAATGTAAAGTGTGACCGAACAATAAAGAATCAAAACACTTTCAAACAATATCTAGGGCATGTTGTAGTCCAGATTAAAATGTAAAAAAAGTTTGAAAATAAATAGCCTATTAAGTCTAAATATTTAAGTATTTGGTGCTGTGATGAACATCATAGCAAATACACAAATCTGAATGGCTGTTTAAATAATTTAAACACGATTCAGAAACAGAAAGTAGTGCAGCTGCTTTGTTTACAGGGTTTCCGGGGTAACGGCTGCATTTAAATGAATTATTATTATTATTATTATTATTTCTGCAGTTTCTGTCAGAATGTGAAAGTGCGCTTTCATCCAGAGCGTCTCTCACATGTTCCACCATTTGCTTCACGTCCGCGCTTGTTTACATCGGAGTGCGCACGCGTCTTTCTCACAACTAGATTCGACTAAGTTTGCAAGGTTTGTGAAATTAAATGTTCATTAGACATTCAAAGATTTGTTTAAATTATGTAAATGCCTATTTGCTGAATGCTGACGGCAAACGAGAAAGTATTATAATGTTTGCCTTTCTATTACTATAAAAGCAATCGTTAAAATACTTTTTGTATACGTTTTAATTTCTTTGTTTAACGGTTCTATCTGATTATTAGACAGACTTCTATCCGTATTACACAGAGCTGTTAATGACGACAACAAACAAGAGGGAGAATGTAAGCACTGTGTGCTCAGGAGCTGCCATTCTCAGCAGCGCCAAAAGAAAAGTCCCGCCTCGAACGCATCAGCCAAACAGGAAAAACTTATCGGCCAATGCCAATATTTGAAAAATGCCAAATATCGGCCAATATATCGGCCTTGTTGATATATTGGTCGACTACTAGTCCCCGAACTGCAAATTGACGGGATTTGTGATGGTGTTTTTGACGCGGGTCTAACAGCAGGCAGCGCTCCAGTCTATCCGTACAGCATGTCGACACGTTACTTTATTTATATTATTTTATTCTGTTTTTGTTCTCAGAAGCGCTGCTGTTGCATGATAATTTGAGGATGTGTGAATCCAGGTTTTGCTAGCGTTTTATTTTGTTGTTATTACTTGTACACAGTAGTCAGACCTTTCACATTTTTAAATAGTAATATGGTAGTATATTCTCATGTTTTATAGTTAGCAGAGGAAAAGGGAGGGAAAATATTTTGTCAACCATTACATTGTTGTTAAATCACCATTAAGGGTGTGTGATATGACGATTTTTGATCGTGGTCGATAATGTCTCCACGATCTGCTTTTGAAGAAATATCGTAGTATCGTGCTACAGTGCACATTCTATCAGTTTCACATCTGGCGCTTCCGTCTCAATATACTGTACAACGCGACATACATTAACATCAAATGTTAACTCGGCAGTAGAGTTACACTCACAGGACACTGCACTTATTCGCAATCACAAAAGTGCATTATATGCATGTGCTTTAAAGCCTTGCCTGTTAAACGTTTCATTCACGTGCTGTTCTGATATGCTCTTTTTCTGAGCGTGTACACCGGAAGCACGCCTGATTACTGGACTCAGTTACCTTTCACGCTAATCCTGTTAAAAACACACAAGGTTTACATATAAACACAGTTGTTTATGTCTGAAGTGAAAGTAAACGGTTGAAAGAAAAATGGATACTTGCCTGTATATTAGATGTGTGCAGGTCTTATATATACACACACACACACAAACATTAGGGCTGCCCCTAATAGTCGACTAACGATTAGTCGACTAGAAGAGGCTTGGTCCACCAAAATTGTATTAATTGCTTAGTTGCAGAAATTTTTTTTTTTTTTAAATCCACAGGCGAAATCACACAGTCCGTAACAGACAGATCTTTAACGGCTAGTCTATGGTAATACAGTACATTGGGCAGGACAACAAAACGCTCATTCATCGACCTCAAATATGACATCATCTGAAATATGTAATTATTAGCAACTTTACATGGCCGCTCAATCTAATATTAACCTAATATTAAGGCCCTGTTTACACTAGTGCGTTTTCATTTTAAAATGGGTCTTTTAAAATGAAAACGATCCTCGTCTACACTGGCGTTTTCACTGCGTTTCAGAAATGATCTCCGTCTACACTACACAACCGAAAATGCATGTCACATGACCATTCATGCAGGTACAACCATAGATATGTACTGTATAGGTAGATTCCATATTATTTAGATGGCGGACGCGTCTGCGTGCTTGGAGCGGTCGAATGGGGAACCTACCTATACATGCAGCAGATCAGCATGTAGCAGTGAACAACACAGCACGGTGTCCGTCAGCAGATGTCGCTGTTTCAATGGCATAAATGTCTTTTTATTGTTGTTAGCATAACTGTTGCAAATACACATACATTTCATATTTTAAAAAGCTATATATATTCGTTTTTATATATTATATAGCATATTTTCAAAACTTTTAAAAATATAAAATGTATGTGTATTTGCAACAGTTATGCTAACAACAATAAAAAGACATTTATGCCATTGAAACAGCGACATCTGCTGACAGACACCGTGCTGTGTTGTCAATTGGAACATGCCAGCTGAAGATAATGAGGAAATTATGTCACTCTCTTTGCCAAGTGCATTCCAAACGGCTACATAATGGCATGCACGTGCCCTGCTCACTCCAAGGGCTCTGCCCTTCGAAGGGAGTAGGGCATAGAAATTATCACTTCCATTTGGAATTTGCCCTGTGAACTGTTCAGTACGAAAACACGTACCGTTACACCCCTAATACACACACACACACACACACACACACATACAGTGCCCTCCACTAATATTGGCACCCTTGGTAAATATGAGCAAAGGTGGCTGTGAAAATAAATCTTATCTTTATAAATTAAAAATACATTTTATCTTTCATTCAAAAATTGTAACTTATCATTGAAGTAAAACAATTGAAAATCTCATTGTGAAATAAATGCTTTCTCTAGTTTATGTTGGCCATAATTATTGGTACCCAATTATTGCAACATCCTTTTCCCAAGATAACAGGTCTGAGTCTTCACCTATAATGCCTGAAGAGTTTGGAGAACACCTGATAAGAGATCAGAGACCATTCCTTCATACAGAATCTCTCCAGATCCTTCAGATTCACAGCTTCATGCTGGTGCTGCTTCTCTTCAGTTCACCACACTCATTTTCTGTAGGGTTCAGGTCAGAGGACAGGGCATGAAGGCAGAAGCTTCATTTTGTGCTCAGTGACCCATTTTTGTGTTGATTTCTATGTTTGTTTTGGATTATTGTCCTGATGGAAGATCCAACCACGGCCCATTATAAGATTTCTAACAGAGGCAGTCAGGTCTGTTGGTATTTGATAGAATCCATGATGCCATGCATCTGAACAAGATGTCCAGGACCTTAGGCAGAAAAACAGGCCCACAATATTAAAGATCCAGCAGTATATTTAACTGTGGGCATGGGGTACTTTTTTCCCTGTTTGTACTAAACCTATCTGGTGGGTTTGCTGCCAAAGGGCTCTTTTTTTGTTTCATGTGACCATAGAAGCCAGTGCCATTTGAAGTTCTAGTCGTGTCTGACAACTGAATATGCTGGAGTTTGTTTTTGGATGAGCGAGGAGAATTTTTCTTGAAACCCTCCCAAATAACGTGATTATGTAGGGGCTGTTTGATATTTTTTTAGGCTTTCTGACCCCAAGACTCAACTTAATCTCTGCAATTCTCCAGATCCTTGGAGAGTCTTTGGCCACTCAAAACTCTCCTCCTCACCGTGCATTAGGAAGATATAGACACGTCCTCTTCCAGGCAGATTTGTAACATCTTTAGTTGATTGGAACCTCTTAATTATTGCCCTGATGGTGGAAATGGGGATTTTCAATGCTTTTTTTTCAATGTTCTTTGGTTTTACTCCTTGTGATGGATGATTAGGGGAATTTGGCCTGTGTTCCTCGTAATTATAATCCTGTGGAACAGGAAGTCATGGCTGGACAATTTCATGCTCCTAGTCACCCTGGTGTGCTAAAAAAATGAAAATATGAATGGGAATATACTTCAGAGATATTTTACTCATAAGAATTTCTAGGGGTTTGTGGCCAACATGCATTGAAGAAAAAAAAAATTTTCATCATGAGATTTTCTCCCCACTTTCAATTGTTTTACTTCAATGAAAGGTTAGAATGTTTGTGACTTTTTTTTTTTTTTGAATGAAAGATCAACAATGGAGATTTATTTTCACAGCCATTATAATGCCAAATAATAATGTGTTAGGGACTGTAGAGACTCTACAGTTTACTTTGCTAAGATTTCACTTCGAAATAAAATTAGGAATACACATATATATACTTACAAATATTTGGTTGTACCACTTGACATTTTTGGGTGAAACTTGTTTAAACGCATTGTTCCCAACTCAAAAATATGCATTACATTTATTTTGAAATGATTTTCAAAATGACTACTTGTGTGCTCAATTTGCATCTTCAGCTACATGCTGATACAAACTGTATGTCTGCTTAACTTGAATTTGACTTTTTTTGACAGCAAAAAAAAAAAATAATGTAAATGGAACTGTGGTGTAATTGTTAGACTAAACTGTGTTATATTGGAGGATCCTGAGATGAATCTTCAGATATATCCATTACTATTTAACTACTGTATGTTTTGTAAGATTTATTTTAGATTTTGATCATTCTGCCCTCTTTAGGCATGAGATTCTCAGCATGCTTGCCAAGAATCCACCTTTCACCAAAGCAGCGGATTCCTTGTTGTGTAATGAAGCTTTAGTGGACCAACTATGGAAGCTGATGAACTCAGGTAGAATGCATACATTGAATTTTTCTCCTCGTAAGTTCTTGTGGTGCTTATATGGACTTAATCCATCAATTTACCAAAGTTATCTAGGCCAAAAGCCCAAACAATCTCCATGTTTAGAGAGAGCATTTTGGGAATATGTACTCTCATTTAGTGAATCCCAGTCAATATACATTATACTAATACTAATGTTATGCAACTCTCCAGGTGGTTTGTTTTAAAAATGTCTCCCAGAATTCTTATTACATGTATTAATCCTCAGAACACTAGGACACCTTTACGTGCTGATTCTTAAAACACAAAAGAAAGTAAATCAATACCTTTGAACCCACATTACTTTATAACCTGTTTTAATTATTGGCGGTTTTTCTCAGGAACTTTCATAAATCTGTTTTTTGCAACCACTGGCAGTGTTTAAAAAAAGACTTAAAGATCGAAAAGAAGGTTTGTTTTTTGACAGGGAGGTCTTGTTCTGCTCCCACTGTGAAAAGATTTATTGTGATAAAACACTTCTGTTCATTCTGGGTTTGCAACCACTCTTGGCAGTACAAATGCTGAGCCATTGCCAGCTGTGATGAAAGTCAGTTCTCGTATATATTTGATTTAAGTGGTTGTAGGTGGTGGTCAAAAACTGTAATATTTTACCCCATGATCTTTTTTCTCAGTTCGTACGCTGTGGTTTCTCCAGTGCTTTTTGAAGTTGCACAGTCTGCTATTTTGTTTAATACACACACAAACGATCCAAGAACAAAGTATTTTCTCCAAAATGCATGACTGCATGTTTTTTTTTCTTTTTCAGTTTTGAAAATGGTGCTGTTGCATTAGGTTCTGTGCATAATTTGCTTTAAATCCAGTTGTGAATTTTTAATCGACATCTCATACCATTACCAAGACATGTTTTAGATCTCAGAAATGAATGCATTTTCTCTCTGTAATGTTTGTGGCTGATAGTGTTTCTGGAGTAGCGCATTGCCACAGAGAGTGGGATTTCCTAAGACGATTGACTTCACTGAACTTCCCCACAATTTGTTGATATGCAAATGTTTTTTTTTTCATGGCATTGCTGATTTCTTGATTTTGATTGGCTGACAGACATTTTAAGGTGTTTATTAATTTTCTATGGCTGCAATAGTATGTAGCAGTTCCAGGTTTGTTGACCACATTTTAGGGAAGCTAATATATACAGTCATTTATCAACCATTGAATTATTTAAAATCGAATGCATGCCATGCTTGCATCATGCATGCCTTAGATGTGCATACATTTTTCACAAAATTACCAGTCTGGTGAATTTATTTTATTTTGTTCACTTAATAATTTGGTATGTTGCAATTTACGTCTGTGTATGTGCCTTAGGTACCTGTCATGACTGGCGTTTGCGATGCGATGCAGTGAATCTGTATTACACTCTGTTTGGGCTGACCCGACCCTCCTGTCTGCCACTACCCGAGTTGGGTCTTGTGCTTAACCTGAAGGAGAAGAAAGCAGTTCTCAACCCAACCATCAAATCTGAGCAGGGCCCTGGAGGCCCAGAGGTGACCACAACCATGGCCTTTACCAGCACTGTAAACTTCCCACTTAAATTCCCAAAGTCCTATTACAATTTATTTTATTTTTTATTGTTGCTTAAAATTAAAGTAAAATGAAATTAAAGTTTATTAGTGCATAAAGTTGAGTGCAATCACATTCACTGATTGAGTTATATATTGATTTATGCAAACATGCATTTACTGAAGGTAATAAAAGTGCTTGCAAGGTATCAAAATGATAATATAAAACTTTTAGTTAAGTTTAGATTTTAGTTACACAGACACATGACACTCAGCACACGTCTTGTTTTCAGTTGGCTACAAACCAGAATCAAACCACAGGCTCAGGTGTCAGTGTAGGTGTGTCTTCCACTACTGTATTGCAAAGCACTTATGCTGCTACTGAGGTGAAACAGGTAAAGGTCAGGACACACCAAGCCGACTTCAAAGATCTAGCGGCAACAAAAGCCGACGGTTTTGTCGCCTCGTGTTGGCAGCGTCTGGACCAAAATCTGCACTTGAACACACCGCACAGACTACAGCCGACTGCAAACTAACACGTGCATTCTGCTCCTGCATGAGAGGAATTAGCAGTCTATATTAGCAGCTATCAATAGTAAATATTCGTTATTTAAAAGGAGAAAGCGAAACAAGGATGTATGAGATATACGCAGTTATACAAAACATAAAAAAAGCAGCGCTTGCTTACCATTTGAATATCAGTTACGTTGTTAACTTTCTTAATTTTAAGCAGCTCATGTTGTTATGAAAATAACCTATTGGAATGCTTGGGTAAGATCACGTAACATTAGAACAGCCCTCTGTCTGTGCCACCTTGATTTACTTATTTGTTTTCATCACTTTCCCTCTAATTCTCGAGCACTGACTCGTTCGCTAAACTGAACATCCAATCAGAGTTCTCTGTGCATCAACAAGCATCTGTCGAGCTAGTTTGTTTGGTGTGTTCCACACATCAGCTCTCGTCGGGCACATGTCGGCGCGAGTGAGAACTCTGATTGGATGTTCAATTAGTTGTAGATCTGAAAGCTGAATAAATAAGCTTTCCATTGATGTATGGTTTGTTAGGATAGGACAATATTTGGCCGAGATACAACTATTTGAAAATCTGGAATCTGAGGGTGCAAAAAAAAAAAACTATTCTAAATATTGAGAAAATCGCCTTTAAAGTTGTCCAAATGAAGTCCTTAGCAATGCATATTACTAATCAAAAAATAAGTTTTGATGTGTTTACAGAAGAAAATTTACAAAACATCATGATCATGGAACATGATCTTTACTTAATATCCAAATGATTTTTGGCATAAAAGAAAAATCGGTAATTTTGACCCATACCATAGCCATATATTGTTGGCTATTGCTACAAATATACCTGTGCGACTTAAGACTGGTTTTGTGGTCCAGGGTCACAAATTATGTTGTCTTGGAAGTCTTCCTGAAATGCAGCTAAAATGAATTGAAGTGGTTTCAATTCTATGCATTTGATGTCTAGACAGGTGAAAAGTGATGTTAATAAATAGTCAAACTAAGCAAATTTCTGAGCTACTACAAGGCTGAATCCAGTTAGTTATTTGCCATTTAATACGTAACCCAAAAAAAAAAAAAAAAGTCGTCTCACAGACAGTCACTGACTGACTGGGCAGAATAGCAGCAAGGCTAATGCTAATGGTTTTGGACACAGCCATAGACACTATGCTGCGTAAGCGTGGCCGTTGTTGGTTAAATGCAAATATATGTTAAATTCAAATATATTGAATTTAATTTATGCTGTTAGCTGGTTTTAAAAGAAACTCATACCAGAATGCTTAAAGATTAATACAGTACTGTCCCTGCAAACAGTGTAATAAAAAAATCTGAAGTGCCATCTGCTTGTTAAACATAATTTTAATTATTTTTTCTCATTAATCATTCTCAGCTGGAGGAGGAGCATGCTGTCATGGAGCCAGCATTGATTGGTGTGGCCATGGCCCCACTGGGTTTAAAGAGGAAGGCAGAGACTCCATTAAGTTCATCCCCTGAACCCGGACAAGTTATGCAAGAGGAGCCCAGTGCTAAAGCATCTGTTAAAAGCAAAGTGAGCAATTGGCTTTGAAATTTATTTAACCTTTTTACTAGATAGTCCCATTGAGATCAGTGATCTCTTTTACAAGAGAGAGACCTGGTCTTACAGTAGTAGTAGCTGCCTTACAAATCTCATAATTAAGATACAACATATAGAACACACATTAAATACAGAGGTAGTTTACAAAAAAAACAATCGCATACTCTTCCACATTCTTTGCGATGTTTTAAATTCATCAATAGATATAAATGTTCTATTAAATACAAATATGTTCAATAACGTGGTTATAATTAGATCCATGCTACGGTACCGTAAAAAAAAGAAAGCCCTAAAAATTTGAAATGTGTATTTAGTGCCAAATGTTCTAAAGACTACAATTCACTGTGTAGTACAATTCACTGTGTGTAGTTGAATCTCCACCGATTGGAGAAAATATGACTTCATCTTATAATGTTGTAGTGTACTGTAATGTTTTTCAACTTCTGTCAGTTTCCCACCCAGGAGGAGGAAGATATTGATATGGACACAGTTCATGACAGCCAGGCGTTCATCTACCACCAACTGAACATGTTGGAGAGACCCTCAACTCCAGGCATGACACAAATACTGCACGATTTCTACACACACTATCGACCACATAGCAGAAACAGGAAAAAAAATTTCAGAAACCGCTGGATGAATGAGTTATGTCTTAACTCTCTTGATAGAAATCAGGACATTGCTTCAACTTTTCTCTCTCATTTTTACAGGTAAAGAACCATCTTCAGTGGAGCAAGCCATGTTGTCCATGCCAGGAACACCCATGCCCACATTGAGCAAAGAGAGCACATCCTCTAAACATGGAGATCACCACCACCACCATCATCATCATGAGCACAAGAAGAAGAAGAAGAAGCACAAACACAAACATAAACACAAACACAAGCATGAGAGTAAAGACAAAGATAAAGACAGAGACTCTCACGCCTTTAGTAACAGCCCTGCCAGTGGCCGCTCCATTCGTTCTCCATCTCTGTCTGACTGATAACGGTGTCAGCCAGCGAAAGTAGTCTGAACTAACATTAAAATACACATTGTTTTAAGCATTTCTGATGTTTTTGTTCTGTTTATTGTTTTACAAATTATTGATTGCTGTAAAGGCATAGCAATAGCATCCAACTTGTAATATGTCAGTGTTTAAATGAAAAGTTCATTCGAAAATAATTTTTACATTTAAATAATTGATTAAAGAGTTTGTACAGTACACAAGAAGAAAAAGATTGTTCTGCAGTATCATCTGACCACACATAAAGCTGCTTGGTTTGTGGCCTCTTAACAGCAAACACACAGATTCACATACTCTCACCATCCTGGACCACTGGGGTTGCTTCCTGCCACTGAATCTCAAGATAAATGTAAACGTTCTGTAATTACTTTAATGAGGGAACATTTCACACTGTGGGCTCTATGGCCAACTTGGCTTGAGAAATCTTTTAAATAGGTGCTTCATTTGCAAATTTTAATTGTGAAGGGTCAGTTGAATATACTGCATAGTATAGTGTCTGGTACTTTTTTTTTTTAATGGAACATTACTCTTCCTTTGAAAATATACTCATTTGAGCCATAAATCATTTTTACCTACTTGACCTTTTGCGTTTGTTGTCTCCACTGTAGAGATTTTACTAGGAAGTTATTTTTGACTGATGTTTTGTTTGCATAAATTCATGAATACATTTTAAGCTTTTTATAATTTTGTTTTTGTTACCACAAAAAAACTTTGTTCCTAGTGTATGTTCATGAGTTTGAGCTTCAGTTAACAAACTAGAACTCAAGTTAGAGGAATAGGTAAAAATGTCATCGTTCATTATTTCTCTGATGAACATGCTTGCACATATGTATGCTTGTGGTATGCGGCAATCTGTCTAGTGCATACCAGAAAACAAATATAGATGATCAAATGGACATTGTATTGTTTGCTGTAAGCTTATTGAAACTGGCGTTTGCCAAGCACATGAGTACCCTGTTATTAAAGGGATAGTTAATCCAAAAACGGATATACTGTTGTCATTTACTTGCCCTCAAATTGTGCCAAACCTGTATCAATTTCTTTCTTCTGTTGAACACAAAAGATGGTCTTTTGAACAGTCTGAAAACCAATAAAGGAATCTTACTGTTAAACATTCATTATATTTATTATTTTATTTTTTGTATGCAAGTAAAATGGCTGCCTGATATTTTAAGTGTTTTGGGAACTGTTAATAAAGGAAATGGTCTCTCAAGAGAATTTCGTCACAGGTTTGCCAGATGTGACGTAGTTCATGTTTCCTTGTGTGAGGGTGTTGAGAGTAAAGTAAAAGGGAATATAGTGCTGTAGTTGGAGTACTCACTTAGGCCCAATCCCAATCCCCTTGTCCCTTGAAACAAAGTGTCAGTCGTTAGTGCGCCTCTTGAGATCAGGGGAGTGAGGTTTATCTGCACAGCACCTGCCCGCTGGCCTCCGTTACAAATACACACATCTATAATGGTGTGCTGGTCACAAATCCAGGAGAAAAGAAACTTGTCAATGCTGCCCCGCGGATTTTAATAATAACATAGTTTAAATACTGAATCGCTACATTATATTTTCCAGCAACGAGAGGATGAAATCGCTTTTTAGAAATAAACTCACCCGTTGTAGAGAGAGACGCACAGACGCGCGTGCGTACGTGCAACTTTCATTTCTCTCTCTCATTTAAGTCATATAGTCTCACATAAGTCATTTCTTATTACCCTCCAGCAGTAACCCTGATCAGGCATGAAAATAGATTGTGGCACTATCGTGCAGTCATGGTTTAACGTTTGCAAACTTTAGCGATTTTTTTGCAAACATTTCTTTGAATAACACGACCGTAAATATGAACACACGATTGAATGTAAAATAAAACAAATGATTACGTTTCATTAAAATCTTTATTAATGCCAAAAATGCTTACACTTATGGTTATTTTTGTTCGGGGCGATTCTAGGATTTTTTTAATGGGGTGGCACAGGGGGAACCCATGGTAAAAGTCATGTGCCCCAACACAAGTGGGATGACATAAAAATGGCATTGCACAAGTGCCTGGACAACGCATCTCTCTTTTTATGAATAAAAACCATTGAACAGACAATAATTGTTCTCAACTTATTTTATTGTCCAAACAGACTGTCTCTCTGTGTGTGTGTGTGTGTGTGTGTCAGTTTCAGGGCTGCTCATTTGCAGGCCAACTTGGCCCTGCCTGGTGGATTGGCTCTTACCTGCACTGCACTGCATCAAACTGTCTTTGACATGCATGGTTTCTTCTTGAAAAAACCTTGAATGTATAGGCCCTTTTCACAGTGACATCAGCTAACTTCCGCTTTCCCGCAAAGCAGTGTATCTGTACGTTATACCTTTACACCGGAGACTTCTCGGGAAAATGTAGGAAGTGGGAAGTCGTGGCCTAATGGTTAGAGAGTCGGACTCGTAACCCGAAAGTTGCGGGTTCGAGTCTCGTACCGGCAGGGATTGTCGGTGGGGGAAGTGAATGTGAAAGTGGTATTGAAAGCTCTTTCCCACTTTCAATACCACGACTGAGGTGCCCTTGAGCAACTGCTCCCCGGGCGCTGCAGCAAAAATGGGATAAATGCAGAGCACTAATTCCTAGTATGGGTCACCAGCTGACCTGCGTTTTATATTTATTTACACAAATGCTGGCATCTGTTTTTAACTGTAAAAGCTTTTTATATAAACTTAATATATTTAATATTTTTTTCTTAATTACATTAATAAAACGGAAAATTATAGACCCCATTTTATTTATATTTAAATAGTACAAGCTTATGTTGAACTTCTTGTACATACAGGCGCTGTATTAAGCAGGACATATATTACTGAATGAAAAGGCTTTCTACATGTAAATGTCTAAAACGTTTGTTTATTTGAGAAATATATCTAACCAACTTCATCTAACTGCAATAAAGACAGCAAACAGTGCGCGAGAGTCGCGGGAATCAGTGACTGCAGTGCTCCCTTTTCAACTCCTCCCTCGACTTCAAGCGGCACATCTCGCTGATCTGTATTCGGTAAGTTCGTTTGAGATGCCAGACGCCTCTACCTGAACGAGGACGAGAATAGACAGCAGCAGTCATCCTCTAATCGTATTTGTGGCAGTTGTACAAGCGTTTGGGTGAACTCCATGCTGGTAGCGATAGTGCTTACTATGCTGGCGGAAGTACGAATACCCTGCTTCGCGTCAGAACGGAAGTTGCGTGACGTCATGTGAAAAGGGCCTAATGTGCCTGACTTTGTCCCCTTTTCATTTTTTCCCACAAAATTCTGTCTTAAAATAAACAAACCTCTAACTTAATCATCAATATTACACAAATAGTATATTTAATAGCCATATTCTCATCTGATTAAAGACAAAATCATTTAAACATGAAGCTGTTCTTGGACATTGCAAACGAAAATAAAATATATATATTATATGTATATAAGACTACCACGCAAAAACTTTGTTTATTCACCTCCAACCAAAAGAGAATCGAGACACCCCTACCCCTTCACGTGAACGCGCGAAACAGATGGGTAGGGGTAAGGGGAAGGGCTAAGGGGTAGAAATGGGATTGAGCCTGTAGTGTGTCAGTGAGTCAGGGACCAGACACACATCAACCATGCTGCAACTGAAATGGGTACGGCAAGATGTTTTTGGTATTCATATAATGCTTACGTATTCTATTTGTAAGAAGGTTTGTTCAGTCGACTTTTTATTGCATTTTATAGATGTAATTAATATGCCTCGACCCTAGCATTATAACGCTATTTTTCTTATTTGTTCAATTAGTAACTTTAGCAGAATACGGTTCATGAAAACTTTTACAAGGTAGTTTTACTGGCAGCTGCCAATATAAATATTCGACTGTTTTGGAGTTTGAAAATCTTTCCTCTTGGTCGCAGGCATAAAAGCTAAGTCTAATAAGAATGCTATTGCATTTTCTCGGTCGTCCTATATGTTGAAATATGTGAACTGACGCGCATTTTACATTTTTTCCAGTCAAAAGTTGAATGAGGTGCATTTGCTTTATCTTTACCCATGTATTCTGCGATATGTGTCTTCTCCCACGGTGTGTCCGTATGCAGGTATTCTCCGTATTATATCTTCTCTCGCGATGCCCTGTGTGTGAGGCTTATGTGGTCAGACGCTCCGGCAAGGCACGATCATCAGATGAGTCTTTCTCAGGATGTGGGTTTATACTTCTTTATACCAGAATGTGTTTATACTAGAATATGTGTGCTCAATGTATAAATTACTATACAATTATAAATTTAAGCTGTATGCAATTAATATATAACAAACATGACTACAGTGGTTGCAGGGCAGAATTTACAACTTGTATGGGTTTAATACTAAATGTGCATTCAGTATGCTAATTAAAAACGTACATATGAGGAAATAAATAAATTTAAAAAAGGGTATTCAGTGACATTATAAGGATTCTATCGCAGTATATTTTAATCTAGAAAAATCTGTTTTATTGTACACGGAGTGGATCACGCCTCTAGGGGTAATATAACATGGCCAAGAATGTTGTTAGCGGCTGTTTATGTGGGCTGCTATTCATAAGTGGTCTGCCATATTGGATACACAGATCAAGAATGAACTACGAAGTGGCAGCAAACTGGGTGTCAGTGTAAAATCAAAGACCATTGGCTCAATTGGGACATTTACTACCTTCTGCCTAGTTTATATAATTTATTCAAGCTTGGACAAAAGAAGAGCATTTGACCTAGCTTGATCCATCATTCAATGATTCATTGTCTATGCTACAATTTAACTTCATAACATCATTTGTTCGTTTAAAGGTTCCAGTATAAATGCATTGACACATTTTTTTTTTAAATCAAGTGATCATGTCAGTTCACAGAAGTTGGTAGTAGTAATGTGCAAGGAACATTTAATGAAACAGCCACTTTCTGTTGCTCTCAACTGGTGATTGAAATTAAAGAAATATTTGCTTTGCTCTAACCTAAGTCAATATTGAGATACGCAAAGAACATTTTAGCTCCTTTACCCATCTTTGAGATTTTACAGGTTAGAATGATTGAACTGCATACATATGTGTCTTCAGCTTCAGGGCAGAGCACTTACGAATGTTTGCACAAGCATAACACATTTTGTCTTTTGGTGATGTGTGTTTTTAGATTTAAAATATCTCTTTAATCTTTATGTCCTATGTCTCTTCTCTCTTCCTTAAACTTTATCTGGTCCTCGAAGTTCTTTCTGACCACCCTTTTAGCAGCCTGTCAGGTTCCTGCAAAAACAGGTGCTTTGAACTAGTGGAAAGTGAACCCCCAAACTGTCGCTGTGACAACCTGTGCAAAACATACAATACTTGTTGCTCAGACTTTGATGAGCACTGCCTGAAAACAGGTAAGACCTATCTACATTTGTTTTTTCTTTTATTTGGGATATACACAAAGTTTGAGGCTTTATGATGGAAAATTAATTATAAGTATTTAAGATTTTGCACTTGAATAAGAACATTTCCGACATTGACGTCTCATTTGAACATATGGTCACGACTCATGTTTGAGCATTCTCAAATCATGCTGATGACATGCATTAGGTTTTCCACAAACTTGGGGCCTACCAAATACTAAGAAATTTTCAAATTCGTGATTTTTCAAATTTATGGTTCTCAAATTAATGAAGCATTTTTTTTATTTTGGACCCCACTGTCCTTTTTGTCTGTCAAAAGACAGATGTTCTTCAAATCGCTTGTGCCAGGCTGCTGTAACAGTTTCCTTTAATTTCGCATTGCTTGGGTTTTATCTACAAGAAATGTTGTTTGATTTTTTTGTGCCCTTAGCTGGGGACTTTGAGTGCAGTAAAGACCGCTGTGGTGAAACTCGCAATGAACAGCATGCCTGTCACTGCTCAGAGGACTGCATGGCTAAAGGAGACTGCTGCACCAACTACAGGTCTCTCTGCAAAGGTAGGATGCTTTCAGAGTGTTTCTGCAAACTGGAAACACAAAAATCACATGCATTTCATGTAATTAGCAGAATGTTTAGCAGAAATAGTTTAATGTGGAGGATTTAGAATTTGTTTTGATTTAAAAGTGACAATCGCCCATTGCTGTTATTTTTGATCCAGAGTGTGCATCATGCATATTTTAACCTTCATCTTTCCCTCGTGTTTTGTAACAAATCTTTCCCTCGTGGGTCAAAATGACCCGAAGGCCTAAAATGATACGTTTTTTGTTAGTTTTTTGCCCAGAAAGCTTATACTGATTCATTTTTATAATTTTTTTTCTTAATATTTATGTAGGTTTTTTCATGATTTTTTTTTGGTGATTTTTATTTTATTCTTTTGTTTATTTATCTTGTTTACCTTAATCATGCATGCTATAATGTGTGTTATAATGTGTTATAATGTGTGTGCGTGTACCATGTATGTGTTTGTGTGCATGTGTGTGCGTGTAGGGGCGGAGAGGGTATGTGAGTGTTTTATGCCTTGGGAATATTCTGTAGTCTCAAGAATATTCTGTAGTCTTTGTTTGGATATAAATTTTGTCTGGATTGTGTCAGATTTTGTATTTTTTTAAAAATCAAATAATAATGTTTTTTCGACATTCCATTCATTCCTATGGGGGGTCAAATTGACCCGCAAGTGAAGGATTTTTTACTTTTTTTTTACACCCACATAAAGTCCTCGAATCCACTCGATTTTTTTGTGTGTGTGATCCATGTTCAAGTGTGACAAAAAAAAAAAAAAAAAGTTTTTTTGACATTCCATTCATTCCTATGGTCGGGTCAAAATGACCCGCGAGGGAAGGATTTGTAAAAAATTTGTAATTACAGCCACATAAATCATCAAATCCACTAAATTTTTTGTGTGTGTGTTCCAAATTCAAGTGGAATAAAAGTCACAAAGTCTTGTACCACTCAAATGAACACTCCATTTTTTTAAAAATTGTAAAAAAAAAAAAAAAAAAAAAATCCATCAAGGAAGGATGAAGGTCAATCATTTCCCATCAATTTCTTAAGACCTTTTTGCCAGACCACTACAGTTATAAAAAGGTGGGGTTTGGCATGTTTGTGTGTAAATGTAGAGCAAGAGCTCTGTATTTCCTGGAAATGAGACGTGTTTGATTGTCACCTCACGCTTTATTGACTGACTTCCTCCCTGTATTAGGTGATGTTCCCTGGTTGCAGGAAGAGTGTGAAGAGATTAAAAACAACGAGTGTCCAGCTGGGTGAGAGACAATTGTGATTTCAGTGACAAACATCACTGAATGGGCTCCCCATCCATCCCACCTTTTATATTCAACACTAAGTCCACAACACTTATATCTTAGGTCACAGCTGTACTTTACATACTAGAAGATAGGGAATTTATCTATTTAATGCTGTGAAGTGCTGAATGATGGCAAACACTGTTAAAACAAGAGTTAAAAGATGGATATTGGGCTTCTGTGTGACCAAACACCTATCTTGGAGAACTGGGTGATTTGCATAACAATTAATGTTAATGCATACACATGAAGTGTGACTTTTTGAGCCTAATCATATGAATAGTGCCTATGGAAGAATCAAAGGTTGTTATAAAAAGAGCATTCAAATTAAAGACTTATCGGTCCACTATTAATTAGGACAAATTTTAGCAACACATATTAATTTAATTTTGTTTGTAATTGGTGTATTCATTTTTCTTTCTGTGTATCTAGGTTTGTTCGGCCGCCGATCATCATGTTGTCTGTTGATGGCTTTCGTGCATCTTACATGAAAAGAGGAAGCATGGTGATCCCCAATATTGAGAAACTCAGTAAGACTTATGTCTTGTCATGAAAATCAACAAACTGAATATAAATGAATATTGACTAAGCTGTCAATCAGTTAAAACATATAAAATGTATTACACAATGTACAGATTAACTAATCAAAAATAAATCCCAATTAATTGTATATATTAGCATTTGCTGAGACGGTATGTATGTGGATAGTTATACTATCCAACTTTATCTAGAGAGCTGTGTGATCATATAGTTTATTTATCAACAGTGTAAACAGCCAAGCAGTTGTGGACGTTTTGATGTGTCCTCAGTATTTTTGTGTGTGTGTTTGGATTTGGCAGCAAGTAGTCTTCATGCAGCAGAGGTTTAAAATTAAACTCCGAATACATTCTGAATTTGTGTGGTTCGATTGATAATCATGAAAGTAATAAAATGCTGATTCGACCCCCACCCCCCTTACACACACACACACACACACACAACTCTAAACACTAGCCAACAGTCTACACAGCAATCCATTTTGCAATTGAGTTTGGATCTCAGACAAAGTAAACTTAGGGCACATTCTTGTTCAGAGAACATGTTCATGTATTCCATCTGTGCTAAATTACCTCATTTATTGTACTAAACTGATGCCTTTGATTGATTCTACTAATGACTTAATTTCTCATTTCTCTTGTAGGATCATGTGGAACACACGCACCATACATGAGACCTGTGTACCCCACCAAAACCTACCCAAATTTGTATACAATTACAACAGTATGTATTAAGTTTGTGTACTTTGTTACATTTTGCTTAAAGTTTAAATACCCCTTGCAGAATCTGCAAGATGTTTATCTTTTTTTTTTTTTTGCACTTTTTTTGGTAGGATTAAAATTCTACAAAGGTGATATTCATATTAGAATTTAGGAGCACCACTGTACATGATAATATTATTTCTGTTGCCTCTTAAACCGTTTGCTTGAACATATTTCTTTTGTTTTATCTTTGCTTTAGGGGCTTTATCCCGAGTCGCATGGAATTGTGGGTAACTCCATGCATGACCCTGGCTTTGATGCCAACTTTAACATCCGTGGGAAAGAAAAGCTTAACCATCGATGGTGGGGAGGACAACCTGTGAGTTACCCTTCCATACCTTTTTTAAGGGATAGTTCATCCAAAAATGAAATTGTGCCATCATGTACTCACATTCCATATAGGGCTATCTCCTAATAGTTGACTAAATGTTAGTCAGCTAGAAGAGGCTTGGTCAACTACATTTTCATTAGATAGTTAGTTGCAGAAAAAAGAAAAAAAAACACAGGATTTGATGAACTGGCACAGCCAGTAACCGAAAATGTGTTAACACCTCTGGTCTGGCTGATACATGTGCTAATAATCATGTCAGGAAGAAAATCGAAAGTGGGGGTAAAGGATGACCCTCAGAAGGTTGCCAAACTCTGCAGGTAAATGCTGGTCTATTGTTCATCAACAACGAACATGTCTTATCATTTAAAACACGTAAGTAGTAGCCTAATGTTAGCCATGGCTGCTCGTTTTAACATTACTAGTGACCAGTGTTGGGGAAAGTTACTTTTAAAAGTAATGCATTACAATATTGCGTTACTCCCTAAATTTCTTGTAAATTAAAAAAGTAATGCGTTACTTTACTAGTTACTTGAAAAAAGTAATCTAATTACGTAACTTGCATTACTTTTAATGAGTTACCCCCAACACTGCTAGTGACTACAACATGACTACTAGTTGGCTAGAAAAATCTTTTGTTGGGGACAGCCCTAGTTCTAAAAAAAGAAAAAAGCAATAGGCACGAATGGAAACGCTAATGACAAGCTAACGAATGCTAACGCATTCACAGCGACACCCGCAGGTCAGGAATGCAACCGACCAATTAAAAAACATTTACATTTAGTAATTTAGCAGATGCTTTTATCCAAAAGGGCTTACAAATGAGGACAATGGAAACAATCAAAATCAACAAAAGAGCAATATGCAAGTGCTGTGACAATTTTCAGTTAGCCTAACGCAATACAAGCAAGGTTTTTTTTTTTTTTATTATATAATAAATAAAAAGAAAACAGATAGAATAGAAATAGAATAGAGCAAGCCAGTGTTAGAGGCCTTTTTTGCTTTTTGTTAATTGTATAATAAATAAAAGAAAACAAATACAAAAAGAATATAGAAGCTAGTGTTTGTTTTTTTTAAAGAAAACAAGCAGTTAGTAAATGAATAGAGTGCGAGTCTAAAAGGGCCGTTTTTTTTTTTGTTTTGTTAAGCAATCTATAGAAGTTATTTTGGGGCCATATAATTTCTTTGAGTGACAAACGGGCCGAAATTGAAAGATGTTCTGCATCATGGTAGAAAAATAAGTTATATATTTTTTGCAATATTTAATTATATTATATTAGATGCTTTACCAGAGTCTGATTTGTGTGTATACACTACCGTTCAAAAGTTTGGGATCAGTAAGACTTATGTTTTTTTTTTTAAAGAAGTCTCTTATGCTCATCAAGGCTGCATTTATTTAATCAAAAATACAGAAAAAAAACAGTAATATTGCAAAATGTTATATGTTATACAAATGTTATACAGTATCCCTGACATTTAGCTCTTTCCAGGCATAATAGACTTTGTACACATGACCAGTGCTCTCTGGTATTCTTGGCATCATATCTGGCTTTGAATTTGAAATATACTTAAACTTCAACTGTCAAAGGTCAGTCCAGTGACACTCATGTACATATATGTAGACTAATTTGAGCCATATTGATGTCACCATTTTAAACTGTAAACCATTGTCTTGGCAAGAGATAAAAGACAATTATAACTAGTACCTCAGTGGCACAGTGTTCTGAAACTGTAAGCAGTGGGATCTTGTGCAAGCTACATGAAAACAAAGGGGACATCTCCAACACATCTGTCAGCTATTAACCCAACAGCTGGAGCCAATTTTCAGTTTTCACTGAACTTTATTTCTTCTGGCTGATTCTATACCCCACTGACTGATCTGTGACGGTAAATGAGGCCATCATAGATGGAACTTATCCAGTCTCGTCGCTGCAGTTTTGCCAAACCATTGTGAAAATTAACCAACACTTAGAACAATTGTCTCTCATTTGTGAATTGTGATCCCTAGAATTTGTTTAGTTCATATATGAATTAAGAGTTTTTCTTTGGCATATGAAAGAAAAACTCTTTTTTTACACAGAGGACTCAGAACAACACATTTTGTTTGATAACTCTTTTTTTTCTTCCATTTCTAGATCTGGATAACAGCAGTGAAACAGGGAGTAAAGGCTGGTACATTTTTCTGGCCAGTGTAAGTCAAAATGATCCAAACTCAAATGCAAACAATGTCTTTTTGAAGGTCATTTGTTAATTCAATTCTGTAACATGGTTAATCAAATAACTTGTCCGTACTGTTTGTTATGGACATGAGCAGTAGCCTACCTCAAATCATGTGGCCTATTGAGGAGAGGTGTGCCATTTCACGATTTTAGCCTGGTGGATGTTTAAATGTATGAAAAAATCCCATACACTTATAATGAACGAGGACTTATCAAATCTATGGACCATAATGTCATGGAGACTTGGAGGTGGGCATGTGGGCTAGTAAAACAAAAACCCACAACACCCTAGAAACCACAAAGCATTGGCATGTGAAGTTTTGCACAGGCAAGGACCACTCATATTTTCTTAAAAGGACATGAAAATCTAGTTATACAGCTGGAAAAAGTACTTCAAGCCAAAATTGCAAGTTAATTGCAAGATTTCATAAACCGGAGGAAATCGTGTGAATGTTTTTGTTCTGATGTGCTCTCTGGCAAGCCCTGGACTTGCCTAGGACTGAAACACAAAGGTCCCCTCATCTGCATTCACAGAGGGCCTTCAGACTGCATTTTTTCACTTAGACTTAGACAGAGACAGCTTGAACTGTTTTGCTAGTAATTTGTGAGAAAAGGCTCTACATACATGCAAGGCACTTGTCAACTGCATACCAAATTCAGCACAGTGGAAGGGCAAAGTGCTTTCAGAGTAGTGTTGTTTTTGGCGGCCTGTTTTAATTTTAGTTTTAGTCTAGTCTTTGTGTGAAACCGTCATTTTAGTTTTTATTAGTTTTAGTCACGTTCATACTCTTTTTAGTCTAGTCAAGTTTTAGTCAACTAAAAGTCTGAGCATTTTAGTCTAGTTTTAGTCGACGAAAACTGATGACATTTAGTCTAGTTTTAGTCGACGAAAACTGATGACATTTAGTCTAGTTTTAGTCGACGAAAACTGATGACATTTAGTCTAGTTTTAGTCGACGAAAACTGATGACATTTAGTCTAGTTTTAGTCAATGAAAATTGTATTTTAGTCTCTTTTTAGAAATGCAATTCTATTTAACCCAGTCAATATAGTATAAGTACCTAGTAGTATAGACGAAACCAAAATTTTCTTTTAGCCAAACCCATTTCAAACAAGATTATCTTATTATATTATTGTTACCTTATAGACTCAAGAATACATCCATTCCAGACACGGAAGACGCTCTGATTTGAATTTACAACATTTATTTTACCAACCAAACATGTTAGAAGTACACACACATAAATTTAAATAAAGACGAACCCCGGCTGGCCGGCCATCGGTCCCTTTCTCTGTGTCAGACTTAACTATGTTTGTTGTCGTCTTCTAAATAATGCCGCGAGTGGGGCTTGAGGAAGTGGTGTCGCCTGCGTCTGCGCAGTGCGACCTGATGCAGCCCCTGAAGGGAGACACAGGAAACAGAAATACTGCAAAATAATAATAATAACGTGACTAAACGGGACGAAATAACGTTATAACATTTCGTTTCGTCTAGTTTTGGTCAATGAAAATGAAGAGACATTTTAGCATAGTTTTTATTTTGTAAACCACATTTAGTCTCGTTTTTATTCGTCAACGATATTGCATCATACATTTAATTATAGTCATCGTCACATGACCAGCATTTTCGTCTCGTCTCGTTTTCGTCACGTGATAAAGGTTCGTTGACGACGATATTTAGTCATAATTTTCGTTGAGGAAAGCAACACTATTTCAGAGCTACTTCCTTTGGCCTCAAACCATGAGGAAATTTGCCATTCTTATCTGAGCCCATAGGTTGAGGAGGACTGAGCTTAGTGCATGAATTTACCCAATGTTGATACAATTGGACAGGAGGTCACGATGAGTGGAGGTGGTAGTGGAAAAGGGTTTCCTGTAGAGATTGATTGAGATAATCTTTCTAATCTTCCCTGCTCCCTCGATATCCTACATAAACTCTCTAAGACTCTTAACCACATACGTGCATATCTGCAGGCCTTAAACTTGAAGGTTTGCCTAAGTGTACTGCCCCGCTGACCCTTTCAGAAAATTTCAGCTATATACACTTTAAATCGCTATATATTTCAGCTATATATACAAAGTATGTATATGTACCAATTCTAATGTGTGGTGCATTAACAGTGGCATTCCATTGGAAAGGAGAGTTCTGACCATGTTGCAGTGGCTTCACCTTCCGGATGCGGAGAGGTCAGTATGTACTAAACACCTCCAAAATGCTTTGTGAACATTCCGTATTTGGTTGAACAATTAATAAAAAATGTTCAGAATTACCGTAAATTTACTCCACAAAATTCAGTACTCTGTTTTTTTTTTTTTTAGTGAATGTGACATGCACCTTTGCCAGGAAGATATTTCTCCATGTATTGCTTTTTTTTAGGTTCATGGGGTTATCTTAACAGTCACATTATCAAATTTTATTTGCTTTAAGGTTAGACTTTGCCTTATAGTAACTTTGACCTTCACAGCAGTACTGTTACTGCTTGATTTTTGTAGATTTTCTTTCTTTTTCTTTTCTTTTTTTTTGGGGGGGGGTTAAAAGGTAACAAGTGTCTATGTTTTTGCAGGCCATATGTTTATGCAATGCATTCTGAACAGCTGGATTCCTGTGGCCACAAACTAGGACCCCACAGCACTGAGGTAAGCAGAGTGTACAGGAAACATTTGAATTGCTTAGAAGACCAGTTGACTGGCGTTGTCACACTTGCTTCAGTCACACACTTACTAACATAAACGTATATGATCATGCTACAATTGTAACAGTAATGCAAACAAAGTCTGCCCAAATACAGACTCACTGCATAAACTTATTACATTCACTTTCCATAGTGTGTGAATTAAAATTTGCTTCAAGCAAATTTGAAATTTGAAGACTGTTGATGTTGCTGGTGTTGCTTTGATGTTGAGCATTAAACAGATGTTGTTTCCTTCTACAGCTTGACAGTGCACTGAAGGACATTGATAAGGTGATTGGACAGCTAATGAATGGCCTGAAACAGATGAAACTGCACCGTTGTGTCAATATCATCTTGGTTGGAGACCATGGTACCACATTTAGACCTGTATTGGGGTTTCTAGGGATACTATTTTATTATAAATTCTAAATATTTTATATATATTTTCTTCTTCAGGCATGGAGGAAGCTCATTGTGACCGCACAGAGTTCCTGAGCTCTTACATGTCCAACACTGAGGACATCATCCTAATTCCTGGGTCTCTGGGAAGAATTCGCGCCCGAAATTCAAACAACTCTAAATGTTAGTAATTAAAAATCAGAATGAGAGTTCTAGCCTGCCCTGTCCTAGTTGCATCAGAAATCACAAGATTTTGTGAACAGGAAATACAGTATCTCTATGCGTTTGTATGTAAATATATTCTTAGTGTTCAAACAACCTGGATTCATCCACATCAAATTAATCTGACTAATTGATTGATTGATTATTATTTTTATATTATTTTACTAATTTTGTTATATTTCAAGTTTTTTTTTTTTTTTTTTACAAAATTGACCATGAAACCAAATTGACCATTTTTTATTATTATTTATTTATTTATTTATCACAACTTGGCACACATTAGTCCTTAGAAAAAGAAAAAAAAATCATCAAAATGCAATACGTCCTGTGCCTAAAGAACTTTTTGGCTTTTTAAACTTTAAGGCCCCTTTTGGCTGATTTCACCTAGGCTGTGTGGGCTATTGGTTGATGTTAATTAAATGTCACGTTACAAGAGACAAATGTGTTGAGAGCATGTGACTTAGTGAGGACATTAGAATAGACTACAGTGCACTATTTCTAGGAATTAATTTGTTTTAAAAGTATCAGGAATAAAAAGAATTGAGTTTATCTCTCTTGTTTCTCTCTAGATGATGCAAAAGCAATTGTAGCAAACCTTACGGTGAGTGACTTTCTATAAAATACTTTATAATAGTGTACTTTTTTAAATTTACATCATATTTTACTAAGCCTTTTTATAAGAAAACACTTTCTGTTTGTCAAAATTAAGTGAGACTCCATACTTAATGTGATGACCTGCACCTGTGGTTACTCTGCTACCACACCTCTGTGGTCTTGAGTAGAACTGATGTGATGTCATACAACTACTCAAAAGTTGGATAGAACTCTTTGCAAAAAATAGTTCCTAAAAACAAAGTTAGTTCTGAGGAACATCTAGCATTATTTGTGACTTTAGTCTCAAATAGTCTCTCAATATATTTTGATTAAATATTGATTATTTAAATGGTTTCAATTAAAATGTACCCTGGTTATTTCAGTACAGAACGCACTGTTCTTCTTCACCAAACATGAAACTTGGTTCTCCTACAGTGTAAAAAGCCAGACCAGCACTTCAAACCTTACTTGAAGCAGCATCTTCCCAAACGTTTGCATTATGCCAACAACCACAGAATTGAGGAGGTTCACTTGATGGTTGAGAGGAAATGGCACATAGCACGGTAAATTACCTACCACATAATTACTTTCAGTATTCATGTTTAAAATAGTTAAAATGTCATGGTTAAAATTTCTTTTTTTTTTTTTTTTTTTTGATTGATTGATAGAGATACTTAATGATACTTAACTATGCAAAAATTATTTTCTTAAAGAGTGCTTTTGATTTATTTTCTAATAAAAACTTGTAAACGTCCTTAAAACAAGATACATTTGCTAAAATGCAAAAATACCTAAGATAAAAAAACACATATATGAAGAGTTTATTTGCAAAAACCGATAAATGTCACTTTTTTAAAAAAGTGAGCTGATTGCCGTGCATTATTCTCCACATATAGCGCGATCTGAACCCTAAACACGTTTTGTCAAAAAAGCCGGTGTTCCGGTGAATTCAGTTTCCATGGTTAAAATTTTTTTTTTTTTTTTTTTTTTTTGATTGATTGATAGAGATACTTAATGATACTTAACTATGCAAAAATTATTTTCTTAAAGAGTGCTTTTGATTTATTTTCTAATAAAAACTTGTAAACGTCCTTAAAACAAGATACATTTGCTAAAATGCAAAAATACCTAAGATAAAAAAACACATATATGAAGAGTTTATTTGCAAAAACCGATAAATGTCACTTTTTTAAAAAAGTGAGCTGATTGCCGTGCATTATTCTCCACATATAGCGCGATCTGAACCCTAAACACGTTTTGTCAAAAAAGCCGGTGTTCCGGTGAATTCAGTTTCCCTGTTTCCCCCTCTTTCTTGAGGGCGGAAAAAAAATCCCCCCCCCCCCCTTTTGAATGTCATAATTATGTCTAGCTACTTTTATCTGCAGAACAGTGTCTTTACACTAAAAACACAGGGGGAACATATCTTAAAAGATACACTTTTTGTTTTGTTTTTCTTTTTTTTTGTACAAAACTACACAATTTCAAGACGTTCTGGTTTTTTTAATGTTAACAGTGAGTGCACAAGTTTAAACAATGGGAAATCACAATAAAAAATAAATGAATCACTTTTTAAAAATACAATAGTACAATACAGTACAACAGAAAAGCAATTTTTAAACCATACAAACTAAAATATACAATCTTAGAAACACAAAAAAGTTCAATACAAGTGCAATTTTGAAAACCAAGCAAAAACTATTTACAACATTTTCAAAATATACTGACTCAGATTATACACGCTGGGCAATAATATTCTTTATTGACTGGTGGGTTGCCAACACATGACTGGTGGTACCACCTGTCACATCCATCACAGGTAATCTGAAAGATCATACAATATGTTAAATAACCATAATTGTCTCAAAATTAGATTAAAATAACCTGTAACAACTGCCAATTTAGCAAGGACCAAACAGGTTTAATTTAAAAAATACAATAAAAAGTCCTCAAACCAAGCAGGTGTTACGTCTGAATCACTTGCGTAGCGTTGCGTAGTCCACAAAAATGACAGAGATCATTTAAATATTCTATAAAAGAGTATATAAACAACATTTATTGTCACATTTATTAATTAAGTCACAGTAATATAAAAAACTAAATCCTCTTAAACAAGCTTTTATTAAATGAATTTAAAAATAATAATAATTGCAATTATTATTTTTTTTAAATCCTTTAATTCATGTCGCCTA